TATGAAGTTTTTTTTATTACTATTCAGGCGTTTAGAGATTTGATAATCTTGGTATATCCTGACTATATGGTATTTTGTCTCAAAATTATTATGTATTATATCTGAAGCTCTTTGAATACAGTCAGTGGTTATATTTAGAAATATTTTTTATCTAAAGTTTTTTAAACTGATTTTACTTGGCCTTTACATTGTGCTTGTAATTAATTTTTATCAGGTCTTTCACTATTAAGAATATTATGTTTATGAATTAATCATGGCCATATTAAGTTCTGTCATCTGCAGATACTTTGCTGATTTGCTGAAAACGTTTGACCAAAATATCTCAACAAAAAGATGGACTACATGGACTTGTGGAAAAGACTGTGACTAGACCCAATCAAGATTTCCAGAACTCTTACGCAGAAGTGGATGAGTTCACAGACTGTGGCTGATCCAGGATCACATGGAACAGAAATTAACTACATAAGACTGAGTAAACGAAAGGAAACTATGGGTTTTATGTGGGAATACTGCTGATGTTTTAAGATCCTACTTTCTGGATACAAGAAATCATTTTCCTTTCTCCTAAATTATCTAACAAATGGGTTTGAATATTGTAACTCTTGAATTAGAAGTTCCTGTTGGTAAACTTAGCAAAGTTGTAAATATCGTAACCAGAGAAGTATCTGAAATTTGAGCTATGATTTTATAAAACAGAACAGCATTAGACTTTCTATTAGTTCTCCCAAGAAACAGTTTTGTGCCTTAATAGATAAATGCTGCTGTATTTATATGAATACTCAATCTGAGGTTTTGCAGAATATAGTTGCTGTTGAGGCACGTGAAAAACAGTCACTAATGGGCTTATGTATAAACAAACACCTCGTGAGATTTGCTTCCTTGGTTCAAAGACCTTAGGGTCATGGTTTCATTGGCTATTTCAGACAACTGGCCTAATATAATTGTTAGTGTTTCTGTTTCACTTCCTAGTTTGTTGTATAGTGCCTGGGATCTTAAAAACCAGATGATGCCCAATTACCATTTGTTGAGTATTTTTGAAAGAAGATCTATAGCAAGATCATGATCCAAAGGAAAGAATGATGAGAGAGCTGTATATAATTCTCCTGGAATTCAGATTTCTGGTTTCCGTGGAGGTTGAGGTAACCCACACAGGCTATTGCCTTTGGGTGTCCTTTTGAACCTCAAGCTTTGAGGAAAACAAAAGGTTCCTAAAGCCATTTTGAGTCAAACAATGGTCCAGATAAACTAGTAAGACCATTTTGCTCTGGGCGTTGTACTTTTTTTTTTTTTTTTTTTTTGAAGAATTCAGTCTGTTTTAGGAAACTAACTTCAAAGATCAGACTGAGAGTTATGTTTAGGGTAAATTAGTAGTTTCATCAGTCTTTAAGACAATGTCGTATGAAATACCTGTCTAATGTTTGCAATCAAACTGTCACCCTCTTACGATGCAGAAAATTATGTATCTTAAACCAGATTCTCAGAGGAGATCGACCTCATGGCTCAGACTCCATTTTGTCTTAGGTTCCATTTCTGCTTCAGGGAAAGTGACCCATGACTGTTAACAGGTAAACCAAGGAGGGGCAGCTTGCCCTTGGGAAGAACACTTAGTATATTTTAAACAGACTAACTGAAGACCTTGTACAGGAGAGGTCCATCATGTATTATCTTGCTAATCATGAATTCTCTAATAAAATCTGGTTGTCACATGTGAATTCTTCTGTACCTTCTGTTTCTTCTAGCCCAACTTTGTGTGCTCCTTATGGATATATGTTTCTGTGTGGTAGACCCAACTATACTAATTTAGATGATCTCTCTCCAACTGATAGTGAAATTATGTGCGCAATTGTAAATTGTTTAAATTACTGATGAATGCATGGACAATACACTTTGGAAACTTTAGGATTATCTTCAGATATTCATAGTAATGATACTAGTAAATATTGGAAAGATAATGTTAAATTGTTAAGACACTGTAAAATGAAAGTCAGAAGAAAACCCATTGGTCCAACATTCAGGGTATGGTTAGTAGCTTTAATTCCTAATTATATCTGAAGTGGGGAAATCTTTAAGAAAATTTGTCAGTAACTATGGGACAAGTAACAGTTGAGATGGAAGCACAACAGCAATCTTTGATCTCATAAGCCAAGGTGACATGAGATAACAAAATAGCCTTAGATTTTTTTATTAGCGAAGTCTGTGCTATAGCAAATACTTCTTGTTACATTTAGATAAATAACACAGGAGAAGCAGAACAAGGTATGCATAGAATTAGACAACAAGCTACTTGGTTACACACTGTAACACCCTTACAAACACCAGATTTGGTTGGTTGGTTGCCATCAGGAATAAGTATACAGGCTAAATCACTAATGCAAGGAACAGTAATATTCTTAGTCTATATCCTGATACTATTAGGCATAATAAAATTTATCCTCTATTGTCTTACACACATAAAAGGCAAAGATGGCCTTGGGCTAAAATGTTGATATACATTGAGTCTGCTCACTTCAGCAATGCGATTGATGAGAACATCACTCTTACTTAAGATCTTGGTGAAGAACCATATGGTATCCAGTGGAAAACCAGCACTGTGAGTTTAAAGAGTCACAATGGCCACCATCTAGGAGCTCGACTAAGTCCAGGTATTGATCATTGATGTGTTACCTCCAATCTCCGATCAAAAGGAGGGAATGATTTAGGAAATAATATTGGAGTTATTATTCCCACTCCCTGAGCATAGAGAACATGACCCAGCTGGAGCTGGGCTCACAAGGACACATCAACTGGGCCTTGAGGTATAAAGACAATAGCTAAGATAATCTTGGAAAATATCTTTTAGGGAAACTTTCACATAAAGCCAATCAAACAGAAGACAAAAGACTTTCTACTCTTGTCTTTTTCTATTAGCATTTAGTGAATAGGAATTTGTTGGACCAATGAAGACCCTCCTGACTCTCGTTACTGAAACCTGTACCAATGATTGTTAAGAAAGACAACTCAAAATGTAGGATCACCGTTTCTAGCCAATGTGAAAAGGCTAAGCTTTCAATGCTTTTTCCCATTGGTAATGTTAATATAACTGATGATTGTGTAATGTTCTTTGGACTCAGGCAGACATGGCTGTGGCAGCATGCTTATCCGTTTTCCCATTCTTGCCTATTCTGTAATATTCTTTGGACTCGGGCAGACATGGCTGTAGCAGCATGCTTGTCCGTTTTCCCACTTTTGTCTGTTCTGTGATATTTCCTTGGATTCAGGCAGACATGGCTGTGGCAGCATGGTTGTCCATTTCTCACTTTTGCCTTTTTGAATATATAGCGAAAAAAGCTTTCCTTTTGCTTTAAAAAAAAAAAAAAAACTTTACATTTAAGCTGTCTATGTATTGTTATGAACAAATCTCCAAAATAATGTTAACCGTAAAAACCAAATGTGAATTCCATATAATCCTATGGGTAACAAAGGAGGAGAAATAAAAATTTCTAATTCTATTTGCTTACATTTACATAAATACTGACAAGATGCTTAAGAAATTTTACAATAAAGTTGGTTATCTAAAGGTGGCTGCTGGGGAAAAAAACAGTCTGGAGGAGTCAAGGGTTTGAACAACTCTTTATAAAGTATCCTTTTTAAGTTCATAATGAAATTTCAACTTTGAAAGTATTATCTATTGGAAAATATAGTAATTTGCATATACTGAATTTTACTTTTAAACATAATATAAATCAAATGTGATATGTGTTTCTAAGGAAATCCCATTCAAACGTGTAAAACCATTTAAGATTTAATCACCTAGGGCCTGTTATTAAATGGTCTAATATAATTGAGCAAATCATAAAAATGTTAAGTCTGAGATCTCTTTTTAAACACAGTGATCAGAGACATCGGTCTGGACTTCCACTTTATCTCAGTCAGAACGTTTCTAAAATGGCTGAAAGATTTAAAACATTAGGAGTTCCTGCATAATATGGTAAATGCAATAGGAATTTTAAAGATCCGTCTCAAGATTTAGGTAAGCTTTAGAGTAATTTTCACATCAGTAAACAGGTATTCCTCCGTGTGAGAATGTTTTATATCTATTAAATGGAAAAATTCTTAGTAGAAACAACAACCTGAATCCAAAATTTGCTTCCAATGGAAACTGTAACCCTGAGAAGTTAAATACAACCATCACCTATCCCGAGCTTCTTTAGCAAAAAAACAAAAAAACCCACTCTTAGATTCTAATCCAAAATTGGAGGGATCAGTAAAATAACTTAGGAGTTTAATACCAGCTCTAGGCACAGACAGACTGGGAGAACAGGGACCTGGATTGGGTACCATGCTTCTCATGCATCTGAAAGCCTCAACCAAAACCAATACCCGCTGGAGGAAAAAAATGATAGATTCGGAGACCCCACACATGATCCAGCTGGACTCATTCTCCAGCCTCATTCCTGAGAGACTGCCAAGCCTCTCAAAGGACCCACAAAGAGTTAGGGTTCTTCCCCAAATAACTCTCTCTCCCATTCTTTACCCCATCACACTGTGTGAAAGTTGGAGCTATAGTGTCAGAACTATACAGAAAAGCCTGCAGTTCCTGGCGGAAGCCAAGAACTCTGTTTGTAGTGATTGGACAAGGATGGATCTGGAAGGCCTGGGGCTCAGCCTCCTCAGCCAGAGCTGCTCCATCTTTAGACTCTGCTCAGAATGATTCTGACATTCAACACAGAGCACCAAGGCCCAGGGTGGGAATGGTAATACCCCACGGTGCCAACTTGGAAGTCACATAAGGAAGGTGATCCAAGCATTCAAGGCTTAAAAAACCACGTATGTGTAGAGAAAAGTGTCCTGTGACAACAGCACTTTCTTAGGATTTACACCTTGGCCTTTTCTGCCACCTTTTATATCATGGAAGAAACATACAGCATGGAGCACACGGAGCACACAGTTGGTTCCCCGTCAAATCATATTTGGCCTCAACCCTTTATGCTAAGAATAACCCAGTTCTCTGTAGTACTCACCATTTCCTGGCTCCAGTCTCTGCAAGTCTAAGTCCTCTCTGAGCCCAAAAAGACAGTTAAGGCAAGAGGGATGGGAGTAGAAGCAAGGCCACTAGGCTGTCTGGAGGCAGATGAATAATGTTTTGTCTATAAAGCCAATCAGCAGTTGAAATCCTTACTTTCAGTTTACAGATGTGTAAGATGGTAGACCTAGATTCCCAGCTGCCTAGACTGGATCAGTTCTTCCTGAGCCACACCTGGGACCTGAAATGGAATATGGGAGGTGGGGTGGGGGAGACAGTGTTCAGTAAGTAGGAAGTGACAGGTTCTTAGCTTCACCTTTTTCCCTGGGCTGGGCTCCCCGCAAGCTCAACGCATTGCTCCACCTTGAGGGTATTTACATTCTTCATGCGGCTCTACAGGTTTCAACTTTTAGGCAAGGAAATCCTCATCACAGAGCATGAGAATCACCTCGGTGTCAGGGGTGGTCTCCTTTGGAAATCCTGGTGGCGTAGTGGTTAAGAGCTGCAGCTAACCAAAAGGTCGGCAGTTCGAATCCACCAGACGCTCCTTGGAAACCCTATGGGGCAGTTCTACTCTGTCCTGTAGAGTCACTATGAGTCGGAATTGATTCGAAGGCAACGGGTTTGGTTTACAGCATGAGAAGCGGCCATACCTGGACTGGCATGAAAATGTGAACTTGATTTCCACTGGGTATCAGAGGTCCAAGGTTCAGACTGTGATTTCACCTGGGCATCTGTTCCCTTCTAAATTCATATGGGGATTTATATTTGATACCAACATGGGTGAATATTCAGGGAGAACATATTTTCAAGTTTGGTCAATGACTCTATCATGACTCCTTACTTTTTCATTATGTGCAGTTAAACTTTCTTTCTTTTAATTCTCATTTATATCATTGTAAAATATAATCAGTATTTTTCCTGTCCACTTTGCAATTAACATTTCTTTCTTCCTTTTAAAATCTTCTCTCTCCTTCCCTCCTCCCCCATAGATAGCTACACAGAAAACTAATTATGTAAGATCTTGTTACCAAAAGTAAAATATATGGCTTTCATTCTAAATAGGATTGATGTCGTGGGGATGTCGGGAGGTATGTGGGCATTTCAAAGATTAAATGCCAACCCTAGGCAGGGATAACTTGCAGAAATAAAATCTCATTTGAGAAACTGCAGTAAGAATGGACTCTTGAGAGTAAATAGATCTGGGTCAAGTGGTTATTAATAGGGAAAGAAAGTAACAAGACTAATTCCATAATAGCAACTCCATCGAATTACAATTCTAAACATTACAAAAATAGATTATGTTAATAGCTTTGGAGTTAGCAACGATTTCTCAAACAGGACAATTAAAATTATACGTTTTAATTTTCAAATACATGCACTTGCTGCTTGATTGTTTAGTATTTATATATGTATTTGTATCTTTTCTATGTAAAATCGTATCCTTTTGTACTCTTACCTTCAAGATTTGATATACACAATACCTTCATTCTGCATTATTACATTTGCTTTAAATACAAATTCTCTATTTATATTACAAATGCTAAATGCTTACTCTTCAATTTGTTTTATTTCTTCTTGTTCAAACTTATGTCCTATAAATCAACACTTTCCAAAAGTTATTTATCCAAATAAGAGCACGTTCCAAAATAATTAGCATAATGACATAAACCCAGCAACACTGTAATGTGGCTGATCACCATGTGTTGAAAATTTCTCAATACTTCCATAATGCACACCTCTCATTTTGCCCTCATTCCCAATATTTGCTGCTCTAACAATGCAAACAGGCCGAGTTTTTACTGCAAGAAGCCTTCAACCTATTAAGTGTGGCTCTAAAGTAGCAGAAATTATGGGTGACTCATTAGCATCCAATTCAGCACAGATCCTGTCTCAACTGATGTTTAGGACTCTGGAGAAACACGGGACGTGTGATCTCTATAAACTGCTTGTCTTCTATGTTTACCTTGTTCAGCCACATCAGGTTGGCCTTATTGTCTTTGGCACATCTGTGCTGGAAATGTGACTCTTAATATTTTCCTCCTGAAGTGGGAATAAATACTGTGCTTAATGGAACGTACTAGTTTCCTTTCATGTTTCTATATTCTTCATCTATGTTAAAGTCCTGTAACAATGAAACCAAAAACTAAACTCATTGCCATCAGTCATTCGACTAACAGCAACGGTATAAAATAGGGCAGAACTGCCCCCATAAAGTTTCCAAGGCCATAAATCTTTCCGGAAGCCGACTGCCACATCTTTCTCCCGCCCACTGGCTGGTAGGTTCAAACTGCGCACCCTTCGGTAAGCAGCCAGCGCTTAGCCACGGGGACTCCTTAACAATTAAACTGGGGTGGGGGTGGGGGGTGGCCGGGGGAGACGGAGGATATGCGGATATGCTTCACAGTAATCTTACTTTTTTTTTGTAACGACCGATAACTTAAGTCCTTGCTTGCTGACGCACAGAAAAGCAATGAAGCATCGTGCAGGGCAAACTGGAAGAGGTAGGAGCAGTGCATTTAGCGTCAAACTAACTACGCTGGGTTTCGCAGAGGCTTGTGACTCTGTATTTCCTCACAAACTCCCAGCTGAAGCTGATACCGATGGTCTCCACCACGCTTGTGCCCGTGATGCACACGATCTTACCTATTAATTCACCGACAGACGTAGGGGTATGCTACCTACCTGGCCGTCCCGACCCCGGCCGTGTAGAAAGCAGCCGCCCGGCGGGCGCGGGAGTACTGAACCGAGGCTGTCAGAGCAGGCGCTTCACAGCGCCGGCCTCCGAGTCCGAAGCGGCGGAAAAGAGCCGGCAACGGCGGCGGGAGGCTCCAGGCGAACGAAGTCCGGCTAGGGGAGGTCCCGCGGTTCTGGACCATTCAGGGAGGCCGGAGAGCCAGGACTGCGCAGGAGCAGAGCCACTTCCTTAGAACCCCAGCGGGCCCTTGGTGGCCGGCGGGCTATACCTGGTACCAGGCCAGGCCGGACGCCCACGGCAGCGAAAACGAACCTTACAGAACAGCAGGACCTCTACGAACTATGGCTGCCGGCCGCGCACGCGCAGTTCCGCTTCTGAGCTCTGAGCCACTCGGTACCGGCAAGATCGGGTTCAGTGTGGGGACGCAGAGGCCGGGACGTTCAGACACTTTCCCTTGGACTTGGGGTCTAGCTATTGTCTTTATTTCCTCCACACACAAAAAAGCCTTAAACCAAAAAACCAGTTGCCATGTAGTCAATCCCGATTTTTAGAGACTCTATAGGACAGAGTACAACTGCCCCATGGGGTTTCCAAGGCTGTGGGAAGGCTGAACTGAGGCGGTGAGAAACCTAGAAAGATGAGGACAGGCATACAGAGGCGAGCTTAGTAGAACAGACCAGAAGAAACCAAGAGAGCCGAGACACGGCAGAAATTGCCGAGATCAGCGGAAGAGTGGCGCAGAAAGCCGAGGCGAAGCGGAGAGAACCGAGTAGAGTCGTGAAGAGGCGAAGGGAGCCGAGATCAGGCGGAGATTGCCGATAACAGCCAGGGAATGGCGGAGAAAGACGAGGCTAGGCAGAGAGAGCCGAGCCGTACCAAGCCGAGGAGTGGCAGAGAGGCGGAGGGTGCCGAAACCAAGCGGAGAGGCCCGGAAGGAGGCGAAAGCACCCGAGATCAGGTGGAGATTACGGAGAAAAGCCGGGGAGTGACGGGAAGAACCGAGCCAAGCCGATTTGTGGCGGAGAGAACCTAAACTAAGCGAAGAGAGCCGAGTGGAGCCGGGAGTGCTGAAGAAAGCCGAGGTCATGCGGAGAGAACAAAGCCGAGAAGAGGCTGAAGGAAGAGAGCTGTGACATGGCGATGGAAGAACTGAGAGCGTGGCGAGTAGGTGGAAAAGTACAAAACATCTATTATCTACGTGTTTTATGATTTACCGCTTGTCTTAGTCATCTGGTGCTGCTCTAACAAAGATACCACAAGTAGATGGCTTTAACAAAGAGTTTATTCTCTCACAGTCCAGTAGGCTACAAGTCCAAATTCAGGGCGTCCTCTCCAGGAGAAGGCTTTCTCTCTCTGTCAGCTCTGGAGGAAGGTCCTTGTAATATGTCAGTCTTCCTTTGGTCTGGGAGCATCTCAGCGCAGGAAACTCAGGTCCAATCCATGCGCTCTGCTCCGAGCACTGCTTTCTTGCTGGTATGAGGTTCCCATGTATCTGCTCGCTTCTCTTTTATCTCAAAAGAGATGGAATTAAGAGACTATCTAATCTTGTAAACCTCATCAGTATAACCTCATCACAGTGATAGAATTTGCAACACCTAAGGAGATCACATATAACCTCATCATAGTGATAAAGAGTTTACAGTACATAAGGAAATCATGTCAGATTACACAATCATACAATACTGGGAATCATAACTCAGCCAAGTTGACAGATATTTTGGGGGGACACAATTCAATCCGTGATACGGATAGATCCTCTTCTATTTACAAAACGAATTTGGCAAAAATAAATTTTATACTGTTCCTTCTTGTATCCAATCACTGAGTCTCACTGGCAGTGTTGTACACGTTGTGATTTCTCACAGCATATAAATAAGATAGCAACAGGCCATTGGGATTTGTGTCTCACTGTTTTCTTAACCAAGAACCGAGAAGGCTCGGAGGTTGTGATTATGCCTCTATTCCAGTCTTAGTCCCACAACTCTTAAGAAGAGGAGAAGAAAGCAAAGACTTGTGAGGAAATGCACTCAGGGATAACCTGTGGGTTATGGCTTTGAGGAACCAAAGGAAAAGAGTTCACTGTGTCCTTTATTTTAGCAGCTGTGGTTTTTTTCCCAAAGAGAAGAAAATATGAATTCAGTTCCATCTGCGATTCCAGGGTGGTGTGAAGGTCCTTTGCTGACTTCGCTTCCAGACTCCACTGTCCTTGAGATTACAATGCCATAGGCACCTGAGAGTTCTGCCCACGCCTGGCACGTCTGAGGTTGCTGGGTGCAGAGCAACTCCTACCTGTTCAGTCCTTCCCATCTGATTCAGAAGCATTATTTTTTGGATGACTAGCGTTGGAAAAAATGAAATCATCTGTTTCAAGTGAAGGGACTCATTTTTCTTTGTTTTCAGCCCATGTAAATATTTAAATAATACAGTATTAACATTTCCATGCTTCTTGCCATTAGCTTGTAGATTGAGCCACAACTGGCCTCCTCTCTGCCTTCCTGGGGTAGTTTTCTTTAACTTCCAGGGTAGTGATTTTAAAACTTAGAAAAAAAGAAGAAGCAAGGAAAAACAAAATGACCTTACTTACAAGCATAATAGACAGTATTTAACTTTATCGTATATAATAGAGATATGTATGCTGTAAAATGAAGGAAAGTACTTTCTAATAAACCAATGATTTGTGGGGGAAAAAAGTGTCGAGGGAACCAAGAGGTGTTTTCAGTACATCTTGCATTATATTGTTTCGTGGTCTCAAAAATTCATCTGCGTAGGTTGCTCTTTGGGATCGGATGCTGTGTTGTTTGCACAGTAACTGCAAGTGCACACCCAGGAAAGGAAGCGCCTGTGGTACCCGCAGAGAACCAAAGGGCCACAGAGCCACAGATGCCAGCAAAGGCAGGGCTCAGCTCTGGGTCGCTACCAGCTTAACTGAGCAGGAATTTCTGGCAGTCGGTGCTGTCACAACTAAACCATCTGTAAGACAGTCACCCATACCCTGAACAGGGCCTAAAAAGTCCAAAAGGGTTAGCAGCTAATGTGGCTTTATTTCCTGAAAATGGATGACTTTAAGACCAAAGAAAGAGGCCGCTCACTCCACGACCCCTCAGGAAAGAGAAAGAGTCAGAGTTGATAACTCATGAGGTTAATGCCGGACATTTTAAAAAATTAAATATGTTACAAATATATTCTGAAAACATTTTGTCATCTCAGTTCCTTTTTTTCCTTTTTGTCTTAGCTTTGATTGGTCTTGAAAAGATCCATCAGTCCAAACTAAATGTTACTCCCTCAGCTCCTGGAAAACATTTTTCACCAAAGTTAAGGGAGAGAAGAGTCCTGAGGCTCAGTTCAGACACAAGAAGATTCTGTCTCGGGCATAATCTCCCGGTGGATGAGGAAGAAAGGAAGAAAATCCCAAAGTGTCAACCCAGCATGAGTACTTTGCACGCATACACACACAAACACACACACACAACCTGTGTGTAACCTGGACACATGCACACACACATAAGCACACACCAAACTGCAGACTCTTATCTTCTGAAAGCAGCAGCTATTGGTCAACTTGAGGAAATGATTTTGTGAAAATTAAAAAAAAAAAAAAAAAGTCCTTCAGCCTGCATGGAAAAGAAACTTGAAGCTCTAATGCTTGGAATTCTGCTGCAACAGGCTTTTTCCTTTCAAACTTCCATTCCACAAACAAGTTTTAGCTTTTATACTGTAGCTCAGACACCAGCACCACCACCCCCCCCGCCAAAAAATAAATCTTTGTAAAAATAGGTGCCTTCTTTCCATCTACTAGAAAAAAATATATGACATCTTGGCTTGAAGCCATGGTTGCCAAAAGTCCAGCAGACAAGGAAACCCCTTGCACCCTGTTATGGATTGAATTGTGTCCCCCAACAGTATCTGTTAACTTGGCTAGGTCATGATTCCCAGTATTGTATGATTGTCCACCATTTTGTCATCTGATGGGATTTCCCTGTGTGTTGTAAATCCTATGTCTATAATATTGATGAGATTAGCAGCAGTTATGTAAACTTAATCTACAAGATTAATCTATAATTTAAGCCAATCTCTTTTGAAATATAAAAGAGAGAAGTGAGCAGAGAGACGGGGACCTCATATCACCAAGAAACTAGCTAGGAGAATAGTGCATCCTTTGGACCCGAGGTCCTGCCCTGAGAAGCTCCACTCCTCTTGGAGTGGGAGGACTTATCCAGAGGGATGTTCTGCACGTCCTCAAACTCCATCTCAAGTTCCTCACTCTCGGGAGCCTTGTTCTCTACTCTGTGCAAGAAGGAAACTTCCGGAAAGTTGGAGTGCAGGTCATCCTTGAGCAGTCCCTGCCACCAACTGGGCCAAACAGCATCCATGTGACAGAGACATGCTGGTGTGGGGGGTCTCCTCTGCACATGCATGCTATATAAATCTTCAATGAGCCCTGCAGCACAAAAGGTCCCAGCCATGCATCCTTACAGGCCACCTGGGACTTCCAGGGCTGTGACTTTACTCAGCCAAGAACACTCAGGATAAGTGCAGAGGGGGTGTACTTTCAATTTTACCTCTTCCTTTCCCCACTCTAACTCCTTCTAGGGCAAGGATTGGCAAACTCCAGCCCATGGGCCAAATCTCACCCCCTGACTGGTTTTTATTTTTTAAACTTTTTTTTTTTTATTGTACTTCAGGTGAAAGTTTACAGAACAAAGTTTCTCATTAAGCAGTAGTATGCATATTGTTTTATAACATTGGTTAACGACCCCCACAACATGTCAACCCTCTCCCCTCTTGACCTTTTTTTCTTTTTGGTGAAAATATACATAGCCAAAGATACACCATTTCAAAAATTTCTACATGCACAGTTCAGTGACATCGACTACGCTCCTCCAATTGTGCTGCTATTCTCACGTTACATGAAGGTTTACAGAACAAAATAGTTTCTCATTAAACAGTGCACATGTTGCCCTATGATAAGGGTTAACAACTTTACAACACATCAACACTGTCCTTACTCAACCTTGGGTTCCCTAACACCAGATTTTCTGGCCCCGTCTGCCTTCTAGCCCTTGTCCCTGGACTGCTGTGCCTCATTAGTCCCGTTTTGTTTTATGGGGCTGTCCAATCCCTGGCTGAACGGTGAACCTCAGAAGTGACTTCACCACTGAGCTAAAAGGGTGTCTGGGGACCATATCTCGGGGTTTCTCCAGTATCCTTTAGGCCAGTAAATCTGGTCTTTTTTTTTTTTTGTGAGTTAGAATTTTGTTCTACATCCTTCTCCAGCTCTGTCCAGAACCCTCTGTTGTGATCCTGGTCAGAGTAGTGAGTGGTGGTAGCCGGGCACCATCTAGCTGTACTGGACTCAGTCTGGTGGAGGCCTTCGTAGCTGTGGTCCATTAGTCCTT